CTGACACTACTTCTTCATCCTCCTGCTCATTCTCCACTGGAATGTTGAGACTTGCATCTGCATTGGCAACATTGTTAGTATCACTTACACTTTTCATTCTAGACTGGAAAGTTGCATTAACTGAGTAAGAAAAAAGGAAACAAAATGTTTGGACATTCATACATTGAAATTAGATGGAATGAAATAGTGAAAACATGAACAACAAGTATTTAAGAGAGTTTTAGAACTCACCACTTTCCAAATCCAAATTATCTTCATCGTTTTCCTTCTCGTCAATCTCTCTGGATTCGGTAGTTGGATACCTTATCCAACCCTTAGCACAAATCAATTCCTCCATCATTGTATCGTTCAATGAGGATCTGAATGGACTACCCCTTTAAAAATTTTCTAGAAATAATCCCTTCAAAATCGACCATTTTTCCTAATTATTTTTGTCTTGGATGAATTTTTCACCTAACTTGAACCCCTTTAAAAATTCGGATAACAATTTTCCCATGTCAATCAGAAGAACCAAGATCATGGAAAATTATCAAACTCTTAAAAACACTTCGGAAGGATTTTTATTTAAATAAAATCTTCATTCTTCCAATTTATGAAAATAGTAATTTATCTTCAAAATTCCCCAAATTAAATTGAAAACATCTCCTAGACCCCCTCAATTTATAAAATTGCTAAACCCAGAAACCAACACCCACAAAGGCTCGAAACAATTTAAAACATCTAAAAATACGTTTCTGCAAATTTCCGGCAACTTTAGTGACCACCCAAAATCTGTCACTAAAAGCCTGTAAAGTCTGTTGCTAAAAATCCAGAATTGCATCCTCACGAAAAATCACCAAATCGATTGATCTAACTCAAAGGAATCGAGTTCTCTTACTTCTAGAACGTGCCTAGGATTAGATTGGATGACCCGGGATGTTGATCTACTCGTTGATCGATGTTCAAACCCTCAAACCTTACAGCAAACGCTATAGTAGAAAAAAAATACGAATTTCGGAATAGATTACTGATGAATCGAGTTTGGAATCGCGAAATGGTTCGTGATCCTTGCGCCATTCAAAGTTAGGAACCATTTGTTGATTGATCTTTTTGTTTGCTAGCTTGTTTGTTGGTGGTGGTTTGAAACCATTTGAACCAAGTTAGAGCTCCCAGTGCAGGGGAGCTTTGAATAATAGAGAAACTAGCCCATTATTTGTTTGAACTTTGCTACGTGACTTGCAAGTCACCGTAACTTGCACAAATAGGTCGACTGAAAGATAACAATGGTCAACCGAATCTACTGTTTCCGTTTTGTGATGTTCAACAACGCGATTGACCTTGTACATCAAATGGTCGACCTCTTTGGAAAGTGCACAATACAAAAGGCCAACCTCATTCTTAAAACGGCCAACCATGTGTATTAAAAGGTCGACCTCATTTTTGAAAATGCCGACCTCTATTGAGTTAACTTATCATAAACAAACTCGAAATTATATCCGCGAATAGTAGAAAAGGTCGACCTATCAAGTACGTGGTCGACCGCTTACACCGTATCCTTATTGGATAAAGATTCCAACACTAGAAAGGTAACTCTAACTTGCCTACCATTTAACTCACCCTAATCTCACCCTAAATATCTATATATAAGAATATATGTCACCTTCACCGCCACTCAAAACCAATGGGAAGAGAATCGATGCTTTCAATGCTTGGAATGAAACTCATTTCTTGAGAACACAACAAATACAGACTGTATGTGGTCTTGCTAAAGAGGAAGTTGTTGAAGATCACAATAGGCCAACTATTCGCCATCTGTCAGTTACAACCAGTGTTCTTCACCATATGCTCTCCTACAACATTCTACCAAAGGGTGGACATCGGGAGGAAGTGACCTACTTTGACATGGAGCTTGTCACCAACCTACTTTCACATGAGCAGGTTAACTTGCCATATTTATTCTATAAACACATGCTTGTTGTTGCAGAGAATTCAAATAGGAATATTCCCTGTGGGATGATCTTGACTTTGCTATTTGAGCATTTTGGTGTGGATTTAAGTGGTGAGGTTGGCTTACGAGTCACAAGCATGAGTTCTATAAAGTTACATTTCAGAAAGAAGATGGGATTGGAGATGCACGATGGTGTGTATGTCCGAGCATACAATTATCATGTAGTCCAGGATGATGATGAAGAGCCCGAAGACGAGCGAATGGCGCAACCACAAAGTTCAACTCCACCAGTCACCCTCGATGCTATTTGGAACCACATGAATGACATGGCCGATTACATGGGGCAGATATCCATCCAGATGAGAACACTACAGGTGATTGTAATAGAGATGCGAGATGAATTCTGATCTTTTAGTGGAAGATACATGCATCCCACTACATCCGACTACCATAATGCTTGCAACACCAATGAGGAAAATGCGGATGAGTAAGAGGAGAGGGGAGGGGAGAGGTTTAGGAACTCCACGATTTTAGATTGTGTTTTTTTTGTTGTGAAAGTTGTTAAGTCTTAAAGAAGATTTGGTTTGAAGCAACTATGATCGTGGATTGATATTAAGCCATTGTAGTTTTCGATTTTAGGTATGTGTGAACAATTGTGAGGTGTGTTTTATTGTATTTGGTGTTAGTGTGCTAAGTTCTTATGAATTTATGGTTTCTTACTATTATGATTGTGGATGGAATCTGTTGGTTCAATCGTAATTTTTACGACCAAACAAAGTACGCACATAAGCGAAAAATTCAATGGTCATAGGCTGATTTTACTTAAGCGGTCGACCTTTTACTATTTACGATCGATCGAAAAACCAACACTTTTGTCTGCGTTTCACTTCAAGGGGGATGGATGGATAGTAGTTTAGTCTTCTTCTATCTGGTCGACCATGTCTATGTTATGGTCGAACATTTCGGTAATGACTACCATCAAGTGGTCAATCTCCTTTCGTTTACGACCCACCATTTTGCTTATGAGTACATTGAAAAGTCGACCGCTTTTGCATTGTGGTCGACCGTGATTTTCCATAAGAGTGACCACGATGGTGTAACCGGTCGACCGCAATTAATCATATGTCGACCGAATTGTGCAAGTTATGGTGACTTGCAAGGCACCATAGGCATACCCTTTGTTTATGTCTAGTAGTTTACAACAATATGATACATACTAAATATTTTGTTATGACTAGATTTGTATGATACACAATAGAAAAGAATGTGGAAATCAAGTATCAGAAAACAGTATGAAAACAGGTTTTCATATTTAAAATTCAGTTTTAGACTTTATCAACATTCTTAGCTAAACAAGTTTTCTCAAGATTTTGTTTCTTAGGAAACGATAGATTCATTTTCATTTTCTGTTGCCCCAACCATAAGGAGTTTAGGGAATTTAATTTGTTGGTGCATATTGACATTACTGCCCCTCCGAAAATTGAGGGTTGCTTTCGGGTGGCTGATGTGGCAAAATTCATATTCATATCTTGTATATATATATTGGTGGATTCAATTAAAACGACCTTTAATATAAGCATCAGCTCTCTTGTTTTCAAGCTTTCAAATGTAAGGTCTCACTCAGGAATCAGTTTGGCATTTTCTTTGGGGGTAGAATGAGGGACACTAGGTCTGTCTTTTGTTTCTATACTGACCATAAAACCTGTGATGCCAAGAGAATTTTCTTATTTCTAAGTAATCAACTAGAAAGTTAAAATCACCTATCATCCTGGTATCCAACTGAATCAAAATAAGTATGGTCGAGGAAAATTCAAGCGATGCTCCTTTTGTTGGAAATGAACAGTTTTGGAAGTTATAAGTGAAGTCTCAAATGCTACACTGGTCGGTAGAGTATTACAAAAGGAACATAAGAATACATTTCTCTCTTAATAATGTACCACTTGGGATGACTCACTTTTGTGGGAGAGGGAGAACATAAAGAACCTTCATACCACACATGCAAATGGGTGGGTTGAGTTGGTCCGATTGAGACTATAACTTTTTGGAGAAATTATGAATTAATTATCTTATTCTTTTTCTTATACAAAATGGAAAACATTGAGGATAATTAGCACCATAATGCGTTTTAATTACAAAAGCAACTATTGTGATTTATTCACCGCGAATATGATATTCGAAGGGTTTTTCGGATCCTATATATAGTCAACTCCAAACCCTCTAGATAGAATATCACGAGGTCTTAGTTGTGGTTTCGCACAAGCTGAGAGTAACAAAGATTGGTTGTTTTATTCTGGAGGAAACCGACTGATAGTCTGTCGTGCACATTACGAGGCAGTGCCACGAACGTTTTAAAGAGAACGATCTGGTCTGGGACTCAGCCAAATTAGGTATTCGTAGTTTCAATTGTTCGGTTTCTAACAACTTTTGGTTGATTTTTCCCGAACCCTACCAAGATGTTAATCGGTTTGGTGCAACTTTGGTATTTTAACTATCTGCACCAATCCCACCCTAAAATGTGCTACAACTATAATGTCGACCAATGTTTTGAAATCGTACCCTATCGTCCAGTAATACTAGGTAACGGGGAGCAGAGACAAATCTCGAAGATAAGAGCTGAGCAGAGAAATCGCAAGATGGGGAACTCAAATCTCGAAGAAAGGAGTTTCCGTTAGCTTGTTCGTTCGAAATGATAGACTTCTGATTTCCCGCTTTCTGTCGAACTATTTATGGGGCTGCGCAACGTGGATGAAGCGAACGACCATGATTTATCTCTCTTTACCTGGTCGGTATCGGACGGCTTCCACCCTGTTAATTTGTGTTTTTTTCTCCGGATATCTAACGGTTTGGATTTAATCCTGGGCCACCACTTCGGATCGCTGAACTCCATATCTCGCTTCCTATTGGGTCGAATTTTTGTAAAAAGAGATTTTCCCTTTCTTTTTTGCTTCTCCCTCGGTCACGTGGTGGCTTGGGCTTTCGTGCGGGTCAAGCTGCAATAGGCGCTACTTTTTCCTGGCCGAGCCGATCGGCCCAATAGGGATTATTAGTAGACGCTAATTCATTATTATTTTCCCCAAGATGGAATTTCAATTTGAAGACAGAAAATTATCTGCTTCAAATTTTTTGGACGTTCCAATTTTAGTTCCGGAGAAGAGCAGCAGAGCGAGCAAGCGAGCCGACGGAGGACGGACGGCACGGCAATGGGGTTGCACAGTTATTTTGGCGGGGCGACCATACAAACCCTAAAGATGGCGGCAGTTCCGGCGTCTGCCTCTTATTCTCGCTTCGTCTTCAGCCCTATTTCCAGAAACCTAGTAGCGCTGGATTCATTTCCCCGCCATTCTCCATCACCTCCTTTTCCATTGCTGGCTCGAGCTGTTTCAATGGCCGCGGCAGTCCAAACAACTCCACCGAGCAGTGAAGACATAGGAACTGCAACCGGTGAATAAATCCTCTAGCCATTTTCTACGTTTGATTTCGTTTCCCCTCTTCGCTGGAGACAATCAGGGGGGTACTTATTGGTCGAATTTTATTTGATTCGAGATGGTATGTTCAGTAGGTAAGCCGCAGTGGAAGGCTGCAATCGACTTCAAGTGGATAAGGGATAACAGAGAGGCCGTTGCTGAGAACATTAGGAAGAGGAACTCCAAGGCCAGTTTGGAGCTTGTGCTCGAGCTGTACGAGAAAATGTTAGCTGTCCAAAAGGTCAGAGCTTTACCGACTTGCATCCCTTTTTAACCCCCTTTGTTTTTCTATACTTGTTTTGCTCATACCTGGAATGCATGTTGCTTTCTGTTCAGGTTTCTTTCTCGAGAGTTCTTTGTGTTTATAGCAGAGTGTTGAAAAATGTGATGTCAAACTGAAGCTTGTTAGCTTCTCAGGTTTATCTAATTGCCTCTGCCAGATAGCAGGAAGTTGAAAGGCTTCGTGGGGAAAGGAATGCAGTGGCAAACATGATGAAGGGAAAGCTAGAGCCATCAGAACGTCTAAAGTTCATAGAGAAAGGTAAGGGTGGTGTTTAATTGCAGGATCGCTTGCCCCAACTCCTCTCAGTATTAAATCATTCTGCTTCAGGAAAGAATTTGAAGGAAGCACTCGCTAGTTTTGAAGAAGACCTGGTTAAGCTGAGTGACGAGCTTCAACAAGAAGCTCAATCGATACCTAACATGACCCATCCAGACGTTCCGATTGGAGGCGAGGATTCCTCAGCTGTCAGAAAAAAGGTATAGTACTAAAATGCTTCTATTGCCGTTGGCCTCTTTCTTGTATGGTGTGTCTATCTAGGAGTGTGTTAAAACAGTTTATGGTACTGAGTTCATTGTGGCGTCATAAACATATGTTGTGATTCTCTTAGGTTGGCAGTCCACGTGAATTCAGCTTCTCTGTGAAGGACCATCTTCAACTTGGGAAAGAGCTTGATTTATTTGATTTCGATGCCGCAGCAGAGGTACTATTTCTGTACATTTAAGGTATTAATTAATGCACGTCATTAAGGTTTCTTGAAAGATAGTACATAGTATGAAGTCATGATTCTATTTTTCACGTTATTTTGAATTAATCAAGATTGTACAATACTAAATATGAGCTTCTGCGACTCCAATTGTCAGCCTTAATTACTTGCTGGATGATAATTAAGTAATCCCAAGAGAGTTTTCAGGATTTAGATCTGAGTCCCTCCTGCTGAAGTAAGATAGGGTCGCTAATTTTTAATTTGGCTATACAGGTCAGTGGATCAAAGTTCTATTATCTGAAGAATGAAGCAGTTTTGCTAGAAATGGCCCTGGTCAATTGGACACTTTCCCAAGTGATGCAAAAAGGATTTACTCCATTGATAACCCCAGAAATTGTGAGGTCATCTATTGTTGAAAAGTGTGGCTTTCAGCCTCGTGGCGATAATACCCAGGTTCGTTATTTGGTTGCTAAGGATCCCTCAATGAGCTGTTAATTTGTGTTATTTGCTCTGTTCATCATGGTTTGAGTTGCCATCTCTCTCTCTCTAGCTTTGATTACCCCCTTATCTGTGGGAAGAAAATATTTTTACTGTTAGCTACAAGAAGTGCAGAGCATCCCCCTAATCGTTTTCCACATGCTTTTGTATACCACTTCCATTACTAGTTATTAATGTAAGTACGTGAACTTTTTACAGGCATACTCGATTGAGGGTAGTGATCAATGCCTCATTGGCACAGCAGAGATTCCTGTGGGAGGAGTTCATATGGATTCTATTCTTGCTGAAACAGTGTTACCTTTGAAGTATGCTGCATTTTCCCATTGCTTCCGCACAGAGGCCGGTGCTGCTGGACTAGCAACAAGGTCAATAACTTTCTTTTGTAGTGATCAACTGACCATTATGTTTTTATGCATATTATATGTCAAGGATTTGTATCCATGCTAATTTTGGTCGTTGTCCTCCTTCGTCTCAGAGGTCTTTACCGAGTGCATCAATTCAGTAAAGTGGAGATGTTTGTTCTATGTCGACCTGACGAAAGTGATACATACCATGAGGAGCTCATTACAATTGAAGAAGACCTCTTCTCTTCACTGGGTTTGCACTATAAGTAAGCATGTCTCTACCAACGAATGTTTTTTTTTTTCTTTCTATTTTCTTTCATGTCTTCCCTATATAGCATGTTGCTCCTCTAATAATGACCTTTTGTTTTGTGCCAATAGAACTTTGGATATGGCCTCTGAAGACTTAGGTGCACCTGCTTACCGTAAATTTGATGTGGAAGCATGGATGCCTGGTTTAGGGCGGTATGGTGAGGTATAGACCTGTACCTTGTTTCTTATACTTGACGTGATTTGCTCTGGCTAATAACTTAACAAAAGCTGAAACAGAAACTACAACTCAACCAGAACTTATAAATAGACTTCTGTAAAAGCCGAAACAACCAGACCCTGATGCTGAGACCTAGTGGGCAACGTAACTTGTAAGTTAAAACTTGGTAAGTTAAAATCTTCGATCCTAACTGTGCACATTTCTTGGCAGATATCAAGTGCATCAAATTGCACCGACTACCAAAGTCGCCGGCTAGGGATTCGATACCGGCCAGCAGAACTGGCAGCATCCACAAACCCTAAGAAGGGTGGTAAAGGCAACCTTGCTCCGACAAAGTTCGTACATACTTTGAATGCTACTGCTTGTGCCGTACCCCGTATGATGATATGTTTACTGGAAAACAACCAACAAGAGGACGGGAGTGTCATTATCCCAGAGCCACTGCGGCCATTCATGGGTGGGATGGAGGTTATATTGCCCAAGCACCACACTGGTTAGCTACCCGTAGAAACAATCCTATGGCAGAAATTCTGCACAAGTCATTGCGGTGAGAGATAGTACAGGGGTTGAAATCTGAGCTGGCATGCCTTCGAGACTGACCCCTAGGGTCTATGCTTTGCTGGAGTTTTATATAAAGCGCTTCCAACAAGGAAGTTTTATACTCCAAGTAACTCGTACTGATATCTCTTAAGAACTGCAAGAAATATCACTTGGATTTCTAGGGAGAGGTTCGTAGTAATATGCATCTGCTGGCCTATAAATTTATAAGGGTTCGTTTGCTTCATGGATTTAAAAATGAGGGTTTTGTAATTTAAAAACCCAAGGATTTATCAAGGATTTGAGGCATCATGGATTTGTAACAATCCTTTGTTTGTTGGGATGTTTTTATCATGGATTTAAAGGTGTGAGATTTACTACTTAAAGTCAAAAATTACATTACTGCCTTTTCTATATGTTTGACATGTTTATGATATGTACACAAAACAAGGACAAAACTTCAAAATTACCTTACTATCATTTTCTATATGTTTGACATGTTTATGATATGTACACAAAACAAGGACAATACATACTAATAAGCATAATGTTGCCACATGGACAATAATAATAAACGAGAATATTCCGTTTTAACTTTTAACGTAACATAATCAATTACCAATTCTTTGTCATCCTTTTCAAAAGTGACATATAACAACATATATTAGAATCGGGAGAACAAAGAATTACATGTTCCATGAAAAGGTCAAAGAAAACTAGAACACAAGAAATGATATAAAAAAATCTAACTCATGTTTGCACATTAATTGAACGTTTATATTATTCATTTATTGTTAATTATAATGTATAATAGTTAAATTTGAGGGCAACCTTGGAATATTAAAAGTGCATGAGGGTATATGGGTAAAATCTCATCAAGGATTTATGTCATATTCCAAATCCCACATCAACATGTGGGATTTATAAGTCCGTGGGGTCCACGGATTTGGACCTTTAAAATCCGTGGGCCCCACGGATTTGGTCTCCAAAAAAGGTGCAAGCAAACAACGGATTGTACCTAAATCCTTGATAGTTGGTTTTTTTGTACCAAATCCATGTACCAAATCCATGTACCAAATCCTTGAAGCAAACGACCCCTAAATTCACGAAGTTCACGTGTTTAAAATTATAAAAAAGAGAGGGAAAAGACGAAAGAACTTAATATTTGGTTTCGTTGTTTTCGATGCCACTTTTGTTATTTTAATGGAGAGCGAGAAAGAAGTGAGTGAGAATGTGAATCTGAATCCAAATAAAAAGTATGTATAATGACTGATAACCCATATTAGAAGACGTACAACGAAACACGAATACAAATAATCGATTTAAGCATCACAACAACAAAAAATATAAAACCAAATACGAACACAAATGGCTGACAACCCACTTTCGAGCGAGATGACTAAAGACATAAAATCAAATAAGAACACAAATAAATCAAATTGAGTATAACAACAATAAAAAATACACATATTTAGAAAATAAACAAATGAAAGTTGTGGGACCACATAGTTTATTGTTCTCCTTTATCTCTTTGATTTTTTTCCCAATAGCAAGAATAAGAGTAGGGAAATGGGCGACAAGAGGTAGGGAGAAGAGGGAGAGAACATGTGGGACCCACCCTATGTATTCTTGCCCCCCAAAGTTGCGTCTAATTAGGAACCAACCGCTTAAGAACTGTAAATGTAGAACCAAGCTTTTTATGTTATAAATTAGAAGATGTTAATCTACATATTTGGATCTTGACAACTGTTACTTAGAGTATTTACGAAGTTCACACGTTTAAAATGAAAAAAAAAAGACGAAAGAATGTAGCATCAAGTTTCCTTGTTTTCGATGCCCCTTTTGTCATTTTAAAGGAGAGCGAAAAAGAGACGAGTAAGAATGCAAAACCGAATCCAAATAAAAAGTATGCATAATGAGTGATAACCCTTATTAGAAGACGTAAAACCAAATACGAATACAAATAATCGATCTGAGCATTAGAACAACAAAAGAAGTAAAACCAAATACGAACACAAATCACTAATAACCCACTTTCAAGCAAGATGACTGAAAACATAAAACCAAATACGTAGACAAATAAATCGATTTGAGCATAACAACAACAAAAAAATATTCATACTTAGAAAATAAACAATTAAAAAGTTGTGGGACTCATATAGCCTATTGTTCTCCTTTTTATCTTGGATTTTTCCCCAATTGCAAGAGCTAAGAGGTGGGGAAAAAAGGGGGCAAGAGGTAGGGAAAAGAGGGAGAGAAGTGGGTGGGACCACCCTATGTATTCTTGTATCCAAAGTTGAGTTTAATTACGAACCAATTGCGTTCTGATAGTTCTAAATGTCGGCATGATTAAAATGTTTTTTGAAGCTTGATTGTAGTGATGACCGTTTTCGTTTTATTATTCATGATATTCCCAAATCTTCGACTCTGTCTTGTCTAGTTCACTCATTGGAATTAAAAACCAATTTTCATTCCAATTAATTAGGGAATAAAATTCCCAAATTAAAACCCCCCAATCCATCCACCCGTTACCCTCCTTCCCCTCTCACGATTAAGGATGAGCAATGGGTTGGTCCGTATTGGACCACACCAGACCAAACCAACACTCTTATCGTACCACGCAGAAAAGAATATAATATGGTCAGGTCTATGGTCCCATAAATTTTTTAAATACTGAAGAGAAATTGACCGAATTGACGTTTGGACCAGACCAAATCAGACCAAAATGAACCGCAAGCACTGTTGATCCATTCCTCAGTCCTAAAATATCTTTCAATATTGAACTACAGTTCTCCCGAATTTGGTTTGTTTTGGACCAAACCGAACCGTTGCCCACCTACCAACTCTCTCTCTCTCGGTTTCCCTATCCCCACACCAAAGGAAACCTAAAGGCTAAAACTAATCCCGGTGGTAAGCGATCAAGAGAAAATCCCTTTGGTGGAAGTAGGAGCAAAACTCATCTCCAAATATCGTCCCATGCCATCTCTCTCTGAATCTCAAACCTAGCCAGGTGCTGAGCTGTAAAGTGAAAGCCGGACAAGCAGATTTTATTTCATCCAAAATCAATCGTTCATATAATCCAATTACATTCCCTGTATATATAGAAGAGACTAGAGTTCTATTTAACACCTGCACCAAGTATAAACATTACAAACAAATGCCAAGTAAATATTACAATACAGTCTATAAACTATATATAACTTGCAATTACGTCTTCGTATCTTCATCCTCGGACAACTCCCCCCATAAGTTGGTGCGTATATGTCCATACCACCCAACTTGACCTGCAAATGCTGAAAAACATGGATTGGAAGAGACTTGGTGAAAACATCAGCAAGTTGATTACTAGAAGAAACATGCATAACTTTAATAACACCATTCAGAATCTTATCTCTAATAACATGGCAGTCGATTTCGATATGCTTGGTACGTTGATTTACTGGATTATCAGCTAGTCTTATTGCCGACAAACTGTCGCAAAAAATGGGAGTAGGGGCAGTAAGTTTATATGTAAATCATGCAAGATATATCGTAGCTATAGCAACTCACAAGTTAGACTAGCCATTGCTCTATATTCAGCTTCAGCTGAAGAGCGAGAGCGGGTCTTTTGTTCTTAGATCGCCAACTAATTAAAGATTGTCCTAATAATACACAAAACCAGTAGTCGAACGTCTTGTTTCGGGACAACCGACCCAATCACTATCACAAAAAGATTGTAATTTAATTTCAGACTTGGAAGAACAGACCTTGACTAGCAGTGCCTTTGAGGTAGCGTAGAATGCGTTCAGCAGCCTGCATATGATGGTTAGTAGGATTATGGGTAAACTGACTTAACTGATTGACAGCATAAGACAAGTCTGGTCTCGTGTTACAAAGGTATAATAGTATGCGAATGAGACTTTTATATACTGAGGGATCAGGTAATAAAGTTCCAGAAGTAGTAGATAACTTGGAACCAGGGATAAAAGGGGAATCAGATGGTTCAGCACCAATAAATCCAAAATCAGCAAGTAAGTCTAAGGCAAACTTTCTCTGGTACAACATGATTCCTTTAGAGGAACGTGCAATTTCAAGTCCTAGAAAAAACTTCAGTTCACCAAGATCTTTAATAATAAAAGCTTGATCAATCTGCTGTTTGAGTTCAGTAATGGCAGCTAAATCATTTCATGCAAGTATTATATCATCAACATATACTAATTCAATAGTAAAAGATGAATCAGCTTTCCTAACAAACATCGAGCAATCTGCCTTTGACTGTTTATAACCTACGGAAGTGAGAAAATTGGTCAGTTTAATGTTCCATTGTCGACTGACTTGCTTTAACCCATATAAGGATTTGTTTAAACGACAGACTGGGTTCTTAAAACCAGGTGGAACTACAAGACCAGGTGGAATTTTCATATAAACCTCTTCAACGAGGTTACCATGTAAAAACGCAGTATTTGCATCTAGCTGTTGCAAATGCTAGTTGTTAATGGAAGCCAATGAAAGTACAAGTCTAACTGTAGTATGCTTAACTACAGGTGCAAAGGTTTCTAAGTAATCCAAATCGGGTGTTTGAGTATACCCTTTGGCAACCAATCGAGACTTAAAGCATTTGATATAACCATCTGCATGATATTTAATTTTGAAAACCCACATATTGCCAATAGGAACTTTTCTAACAGGTAATTCAACTATGGTCCATGTTTGAGTTTTCTCTAGGGAAGCTAATTCAAAATTGCAAGCTTCTCCCCATCGAGGGTCTTTAATATCTTCTCTATATGTTCTAGGTTCTTTTATAGCAGAGCTAGCAAGAATATAACTCCTATATTCAGAACTTAGATTATCAAAAGTCATGACATCATACAAGGGAGTCGCGCTGGAGGTGGCACCATGCCATTAATGGCGATTGCCCTATTTATGCAGAATTCATTGGAGTCAGCCTTAGAGCCCGGTTAAAAAACAACGGCAAAAGGAAGATTCTTGGATGTGTTCTTAAAGATCTTGGACGTGTCTTGAAGGTTTTTGGACGTCTCTTGAAGGTCTTAACATATATTGACATTTTTGAAGAATTTCTTGTGGTTCTAGAAGAAGGTGTTCATTTTCTTTGGAGCGCATGGAAGCAAGGTTTGAAGCCCTCGAATGAAGGATTCAAGAACATATCGTACCCCCACCTCAAGATCCCATAGCTGAAGCAAACCCTAATCCTAACCCTAATCAAGAACGAGTTCAAAGGGAACGAGGTCGAGGATGTTGAGTTGCTGAAGTTCCATTGATTAAGAATATGAGGCGAAATTAAGCATTGGGGATGCCCACCCATCAAGGAGGTACAACAATGATTTCATGAGGAAGACGAGGAAGTTGAGTATGAAGACGAGGATGCCTATCCACGTGATGAAGAAGACGAGATGGAGAATATTAAAGTTACTATTTCGTCGTTCAAAGGCCCCACCAACCCTGACGCTTAACTAGATTGGAGGAGGAAGATGGAACTAATATTTGATTGCCATAATTATTCTGAGAAGAAGAAACTGACATTGGATACT